GAACACTTAAATTTGACTTACTAATATAGAATGGAGCAAAATATTTTAACATTGGACATCTTGAAGGATATTTTTGAACAATGAACCCAGAAGTTAATTTTAAGAGTGTCTGCCTCTATAGATAGACTGTGTTTTAAAGATGTTATAGAAGAGGAACAAATTTTACTGGACAAGACTGAGACTGATCTGAAAGTGGATTTAAAAATAGCAGGCTACAAGAATGATGTGGAAAAGGATGCTACACTGGACATACAAAAAGCAAACAAACAAACAAAAAAACCCTGCTGATGCCCTAATAATTAAAAGGGATATACAAATAACAAACCAAGAGAGTGACCTGGATAATTTTCCTACACTGGATTTACAAAAGAGGCTTGTTAAAACTTTGAAGAATTTTGCAAGAAAGGACAAGGAAAAAATGAAAGGAAATCAAGTTCTAGGACATTATTTGAAGGGATTAAAGATCAAGATTGTTAAAAGTAAACGGAAGGAATATAAAGTTGGTTTATTTGATCAAGGTTAAAATAGATATGTTGTTATCTCTGGTAACCCTTAATGGACTTTTGCTGATCAATACTAAATAACGAGGCTTTAAGGATTTGTTTATAGATGAGAGATGGGATTTGGGAAGAAGAGATCACTTGTATTGAAGGTGATAAGTTACTAAAATTGTTTATACTTGTGATGAAGGGGGAAGTCATTTCTTTATATATTTCTTTTCTTCTTCTTTACTATACTAAAATTGTTTATACTTGTGATGAAGGGGGAAGTCATTTCTTTATATATTTCTTTTCTTCTTCTTTACTATACTAAAATTGTTTATACTTGTGATGAAGGGGGAAGTCATTTCTTTATATATTTCTTTTCTTCTTCTTTACTATACTAAAATTGTTTATACTTGTGATGAAGGGGGAAGTCATTTCTTTATATATTTCTTTTCTTCTTCTTTACTATATTTTTATTTTTTATTTTTATTTTTTCTGCACCTTCTATTTTTTCTTTTTATTCTTTTGTTATTCTTTTGTTTGTTTGCATTAGTTTTTTATTGTTGTAAGTGTAATTTATAATAAAATTACTATTAAAAATACATTTTCTTAACCAGGGCACAGTTTTGGATTTAGATATATTCTAGCACCCATGTTATCATTTGAACTTCAGAGAATGGTCTTTAATTCTGTGTGCATTTAAACTCTGTTGAAACTTACATGCAGGTTTCAGCTTAATTTGAAAGGAACATGAGTTGTATTTACTTAGACATGTCTTAAAAGAGGCAGATAGCATGCAACAGGAGACCTCAAGGCAGCAACAATTCTTCACAATTTATGGTAATGGAATTTAGTAAGGGAACTAAAGGAGTTTATACAGTACATTTCACAACTCCACTTGACGTAGTTATGGCATCTTCTGTAATAGCACAGAAACCCTCCTCCTGTGCCTTTAATCATCAGGGGTTCAGCAAGGGACAAGTGACTCCCTAATATGAAGGAGTGAACACTCTCCATTAAAATAGATTGACTGATGTGATGGAATCACATCATCAAAAATCACAAGCCAGAATATGATTTGTTTGGTTTGGGTGAATGCCTTTAGTGAACTGGATTAGTATGGATTATTCAACAGCCTGGCCATCCCATCTCTGCTTAAAGACCTTCAGCAAAGGAGAGTCCATGACCTCCAGAGGTACAGCTCTTACTGTGAGGAAAATTTCCAACTGAAATCTATTGCCTTGTCATTTAAATCCATTGTTTCTTGTACAGTTATCTTCTGGAACAACCCTGAACAATTCTGCATCATGTTCTACATGACAATCCTTCAGATAATGGAAGAAAGCTATCATATCTATCCAGAGTTTTTTCTTCTCCAGACTGAAAATGCCCAATACCTCCAAATGTCTTTCTTTTCAGGCCTTTTATCATCTTGTTTGCTTTCCTTTGGGCATGCTCTGGTCTATCAAAATCCTTCCCAAAATGCATTGTCCAGACTGGATGCAACATTTATTCAAGTGTGATCTGAACTAGACAAAACAGAGAGAGTGTTAACTTCTCTTGAACTTGATACTGTATTCCTGTTGATGCATCCTAGGATTGCATTTGCTTTTTTTTTTGCAGCGACATCACACTGTTGGTTCATATTCATCTTGTTATCCATCAAGATTCCTGGATCCTTTTATTTCTACTTCTGCCCAGTATCCTTCCAGTATGATCTGCCATGCAATACTTACCCTCAAGCTCAATACAAAACTGTTGAGAGTATAATTGTTTGACAGGTACTATGTCCATCTAATGAGAGCATAGTCCAGCCCACATTTTGCCATCTTCTCTACAGAATCCAAGGGATTAATCAGATCTCCTTGGAGACAATTGCAAATTATTATTAAAGTCAGATAAAGATGGCAAGAATCACCAGGATCAAGAGTCCATAGAGTCATCAGGAGACAAACACCGGTCAATGGTATAACTAACTTAGTACTTGAATGGTAAGGCTACAAACACTCTAATGAAGTTTTGAGTAGACTGAAGCAACATACCAAAGTTGGTAAGATATGAAAACCAAAAAAGCCAATTCTACAACTGGCTAGTAGAGCTATCAAAAAAGATCTACAGTAGGTTAGAGGGTTAGAGTCTGGACAACCAAACTATGTAGAATATTTTGCAGCTGCTGGAATCATAGTAAAGCTATTATTGTTTGCAGACAAATCTGTGTACAAAAGGAAATCTCACACAACTCTTGAGACTTGGATCACATGGCTGCTGTCTGTGGAGTAACGCCATTTTGCCTTCTGCCTGGCTGGCTCTGCTGACACTGTCACATCAACATTGCATGTCCCACAGCCAGGCAAGAGTCCTTTCCTTATTGAAATGTTAGATAAGGAAACTCAGATCACTTACATGCAATTTGTAGAGAACAAATCAAACGATCATATGGGTGTTTAGAAATAAGCCCCTTCCCTATAACCAGCACAAGGAAGAGAGGGAGATGCCTTACAGTGTGAATGTCTGCTATCTACGATCCCTTCTGCTCTGTTGAAGAGCTGCCCTGCCAAAGGCATCTCTAACACATACATGCACCTAGAGGCAGGTACAGCCCCTTGCTTTGAAGTTGCAAAGAACAGCACATAGCGAATGCCAAAGCATCAGAGGCAATAATGTGTGTCACACCCAATGAGGGCATGTATGGGGCAATGAGCTAGCTGGAGTAGAATGCAATCCTTATTTCTTAGCACTAGATGTTCAAGAGAATGTTGCAGAATAATGCCTGTTATGAAATACAAACTCCAAAGTATAGTTATAGGGGGAATTTAAAGCTCTAAATTTGGACTGGTCATCTTCTAGCTGCTCACAAACACAGTATCTGCACTCTCAGATAAATAAACTTTTAAATGTTCTATACTTGCCTAAGGATAATTTTAAGCAGATGGCAAACATATTCTCAGTGACTGAAATTTTGGACACTAGAAGAGTCAGAAATATTAACTCAGTTCAAGTCCTCAATCAGAAAATGTTTAAATTTTTTCCAGAACTAGACTTCAGCTACTTGGTAGAACACAGAAGGGAAGTAATTATTTTTTTCTGGAGCAACATTTAACATAAGCAGAAAAGAATGACATTACATGACTGTAACATCACATTATTATGAAACAGCTAAGTTTAAATAAAATTAGCATGAGCGATTAGCATACAGCTTTTGCAATTCATAACAAAACCTATGAGTAATAACTACATCTGGTCAAATAGTCTACAGCAAGAAGAGGAGTATAATTAATCAGACCAGAAAGATTTGTTTATGGGATGTTTCTTCTAGGAGTTTACTAGCCTTCCGTGTTACTATTTCAACCAAGCTTTTATTTGGCTGTGGATATATTTGGAGGACTCCCTGATGCAAGTCCGAGTTTTCTACAGGTAAGTGATTTCTTTGGAGATCTTTCTAATCCAGCGAAAGCTTTTGGTTCTCCTTGTGCTCTCTGTCTTTGTCTTCAGTAAAGATGATCTGGTTAGTGCTTTCTTGGGTTATGTGACTCCTGTTCAATTAAGAAAGGTTTCAAATTCATCTGCATTGATCTCAACGAAGGAAACTAAGGTATAATGGAAATCTGCTGTGCTGATTTTTGCGGAGTCTACATAAGCAGCAGCAGTATACATGGCAGGTTGCCATGTTACATGTTTTGCCGGGATTTAAAACTATTTAATGCTAATCAGCAGGACTTCTGGAAGAAAATAAATTGTGCTTTTTTAACATTTCATTTTGACTGCCCTCACAAAGATATGATTTCAAGGAATCCAGGGATAATCAAAGACAATGACTGGGTTCACATGCCATATTTATTTGTTTTTGGTTTAGCATGTGATTTGAACCCAGCCATTGTGGCATGTAAATCATGGCTAATGGCATAGCATATTACTGTCTGTAAATCCAGCTGAATTTTATTCAGTGAACCTTGTTTAAGTAAATAATGTCTTACTGTGAACCATGGTTAAGCAAACTGTTGTTTAGTAATCTGCAAACACAGCCAATCAAATCAATTCAAGGTGGTATAAATTTGTAAGGTAGATGAGCCCCAAATCTTTAGGGGATAGCATTTCAGAGCAAAAGAGAAGGTGGCTTTCTAGAATTCCTTGCATTGGATGCATCATGTAATTTGATCCCTACCCTGACATACCCCTTAGCATCTCCCATAAAACTTATTGTTCATCTCATTTCCATTTTCTTATATATTTTTCTGGTTGGCTGAACTGGGTTATAGCCAAAAATTAAAGTCAAAACAATTAAAACTAAACTGATAAGAAGCGTGAGCAACAAGTAGGAAAAATAATTTATTTTTATTTTTTGTGCCTTTGAGTCAGCCTTGACTTCTGGTGACTGCCTGGACTAGTCCCTGCAGTTTTCCTGGCATGGTTTTTCAGAAGTGGTTTGCCCTGGCCTCCTTCCGAGGGCTGAGAGAAAGTGACTGCCCCAAGGTCACCCAGCTGGCTTTGTGCCTAGGGAGGACTAGCCTGACGCCTTAACCATAACACCAAACTGGTTCTCTGGGAATAATAATAGGACCCAAGCAGGAAAAAACTACAAAGAAATAGATCACTAACTGATAAAGCATTTGATAGCCTTGGGATCCTGATAAATAATCAAGCAACTTGTTACCTGTAAGGGGGCTGGCAGCAGCACTCAACATACAGACTCTAAATAAGAATAAAAGGCAGATTTTATATTGTGTTACTAATGACTGGTTGATACTAGAAGACATTTTAAGTCCCTAATGAGGAAATGGCCCCTGAGTCAGATGTTTTTCACTTCACACTAAATCTCTGTTATCACAGGATGCAGTCAGCTGGCTGTTGACTAAGTAGCCAGGCCTCCTGAGGCTCCAACCTGAGACTTGATACCAATATAGATGTGAAGAGAAACTGTCTCATGTGTTTGTGTGCTTGTCCTCAGTTCTGAATTGTAACTGGTGAACAAGGGCAGGGAATTTCAGCCTTACCTGTCTTTCCTTTCTGTAATTGGTCCGCTAAGGTTTGTCTTTCCAGCACAATCCCACTATAAAAGCAAGCCAGGATGGCAGGAATACATCCAAGGTGATCAAACTAAAGGAAATAAGGCAAGAAGATTTTGATCATAATCAATAATGTTTCCATGCAGTAACCAGGAATTACACTCAATAGAGCTTTCACTCTTTTACTGAAGGTATAGGATTGGTTGAATCCTCATCTAGGGTGATTCTGAGGAAAGGGATGGACATTCAGAATTGTCATGTTGTCAATGAATCATCTGGCAACCCTTGAATGTTTTTCTCCAAAGACAAGCCTTTCCTTCTACTTCAGGCTTTGCCAGTCCACTGCTCTCCAGATCTTTTGGACTTCACATCCCATAATTCCTAGCCAGCGAGATTGTCAGGGCTTGAATTCCAACACATCTGGAGAATGCCAAGTTGGCAAAGGCTGTTCCAACTGATTTCTAATACTTTATGAGTCCTTTTTATGTCTTTTCCCTGTATGTTTATTGCCTGCAGTACATCTGTCCCTCACACATGAGCAGAGAGAAAGTGTAATTTTTTTTTAAAAGATAAAAATGGCCCCAGCTTGTTACAAAATTGCTTCTGGTTCTTTCCTTAGGAATTAATATCTTCTGGACCCTGGAAGGTGTCTAAAATCCTAAAACCTCTGGTCAAAGGTGAGAGTTGAGAACTGTACTATTAAATAAGACCTGTCTTTGAGATTTTGTTTTTCTCAATCAGGAATAAACTGCTTTTCAAAGATCAGAAAAGAAGTGAATAGACCCAAGCCAAGTATAACTGAATACTATATTTTAAAAGGCCACTATTTCTCTTGACAGGAAGGTGAAAGTGTCGTTTCTTTTCCTTTCAATCTCAATCCAGAGTCACTTCCATGTGGCCTACAACAGAGGTGATGTGTTGGGACTGTTCTTCATGATAGGAATCAGGTGGCCTGGAACAACTTCTCTGACAACATCCATAACCTGGTTCTGACTTGCTGCACTCCACCCACCCCACCCCATATTTTCTGTATGATTGATATTCTGACACAGAAAGATGCACACCCACTTCTCAAGGCTCCGAGAAAGATTATTCACTAGCTCTCTCTGTGTCTTTCCGGCTGAAGTGTTTGCCTTTAAAAAGCAAGGCCAGTGGAGGATTTCCATAATTTACATAGTAGCATTACTAGTTAGTTGGCTTATTCGCTGTTGCAGATTTTCTTTCTGAAATTGTTTTGCTTTACTCAGACAGTAGTTTTTCACTTGAAAATATGGCACTTCGATAGCTAAATAGATTGATATACAACTTATTTTGTATAATAAATATTTTCTATCGTTTGGTAGGATGAAAACAGATCACTTGAAAGAATCTAATGCATTAGTTATGGACAATGTCACGGATGGGGCTCCTTCATGGGACTGTTAGATGGATGTCTAAAAGCATTTTCAGATCACAGATGCCCAAACAATTCTAGTAACTCTGCACTCAGTGTAAACTTCACTGATTTAATTGGATCTTGTTCCCAGATATGTAGGGCTATCATTTGATAGCCTACTGATTTTCTACATACAAAAGCAATTATATAAGAAAATGAAATCAAAATAGTCTAAATTCTTAATATAAGAGTGAATGTAATCCAAATCCCTAATCAGTGTTCCTGAGTAGCTTCATGTAGCACTAAAGAACACAAAGGAACTCTTGGCCTTAAAGAAATGAAATGCAAGACTATTGTCCTGTGCTGCTATTAAGGGGAATGAAAAAGAACTGAGGGACTTAACCTGTTTTGCAAAATCTCTTTCTGTTTTTATAGCACAACAATGAATGGTTCAGATTCTGCTGCTTCGCCTCATGAAGCACAACAGCAAGGTAATACAAACAGTATAGAATTATTAGCAACTGGTTTGGGAACAAATAGAACTATTTATATTTTTGAATTAACCATCCACCAGTGCAGTTACATGCACACATTCCTTACATATTCATACAAAGATAGGCAGGCCAAGAGGTAAGCAAACTTTATATACTGAGGGACTGGTTTTGCTAAAATGAACACTTCCAAAAAGCAGACATCCATTTTGTTTCAGCAATTTTTTCCATGAGCGTTTGAAGGGAAAAGTTATTTTAAACCATAGTTTGAGTCAGGTTGATATGATAATAGCTTGACATCCCCTTGGAATTCTAAAGTTAGACATGCCCAATTAGTTCCTTTTAATATTTGCATGTAAATCGCTTTCTGAACAGGTCAAAATTTAAATGAATTAAACAGCCACATGAAAAATTACTTTTGTCCTTAGGGATGTCAGCAGTATCACAAATCTGCAGGTCCAATCTGAGTGTAAGTGAGTTCAGTGATCTGTGGATTCTGCACAGTAAACCAGGGAAACCAGTGGCTGTGTCTCCTGTGGCTTTATTCCACTGATGTCCACTTTTGTAGACTCTAAAAATTACAGGATGGCTTTGGATTTTATAGTCAGCTTCAGGCAAGAAAGTACAACCTAAGGTCCAAAGCCTTGAGCCCAATATCCAGAACCCCTCCAAAAGTGTAATTTTAATGTAACAGAAGAAAATGACAACGTGCATTCATATTAATTGCATTTCCTTAATAAAATTAAAAAATGGCTTTGGTCCCACCTTCTTGTGGGCCTGAGGCCTGAGAAAGGTTGTGTACTCATTGCTTAGGATATTCTATGTTATTAAAGATGTAAAGCCCTGAAAAAATAGCCAACCTGAGCAAGAAATCAGAAGCATGTTATTGATATTCCCAGGCAGCTGTTGCAGATATTAAAACTGCACGCCTTCTGTCATGCTTTATGATAAGTACATTCTTAAAGATACTTTTTCCTCCCACCATTTCAAAGGCAGGAAACGAAAACGGAATGAAAAAGCAGAAGTGCAAGAAGAAAGTGAGGATGAAACTTCTTTGGGGGAATTAACAGAGAGTCAGCAACAAGGTAAAACAAACTGGCCCTTATGTTTATCTTACCAAGAGTGAGGCCTCAGAGACCTAATGGGCGCCCTTAGCTGACAGATTGCAGAGCAGAGTTCAGGGGCAAGGTACAAGTGAGCGGACTCATTCACACTCACGTTCATCTCTCTTCCCTCCCTTCCCAGAAAGCAGGGTTGTGCCAAGGGAGAGAAAAGAGACAAAAACTTCCTTCCTCATGGCTATCAAATCAACAATCAGCTCCCTGCGGGTGGAAAGCAGCAATTTTCAGTGGTATCTTTTGGAGGGGAAGCCTAAGCCCCCCCCCAACTCAACATCAAAAATCATGAGTAGTAAGATTGAGAAGATGGAACAAGCAACAGCGGTTTCTTCCCTTTTTGAGCAATATATTGTGGGTTGCTGGTTTCCTGCTGTGATTAACAACAGAAAGAAACATAGTCTGTTCCTTTCCAGGCCGTTGACTATGTAGAAAAGGGGGTGCCCATCATTTCTGCAGGGAACTTGTGTGTACAAATATACACATATGCATTCACGCACACACACATATGCCCTTTCTGAAAACGGCAGGGAAGTCATATCCACATAACCTCATAACCGTATGGGAACTGTCTCAAATATTTTTGCATACACTCTTGCAAAAAGGGTGCTAGAACAGCCCAGACGCATATTCACTCTTTCCCTTCCTAGAATCTGGCCCTAAGTAGCACTTCAGAAGGATTCATCTTTTCTGCAAATCCAGATGGCTGCTGCTTTGCTGAAATCCTTTTTCTTCGTTTTCAAATCAGGCTTTTCCTAGTAAGCACTTCCACAAATGGGCTTCCTCTGAAAACAGGCCAGATTTCTATCCTTCTCATCATGAGGACTTACGTTTTGAAGATTTAAGAAGACTGAACAAATTTAAAAAAAAGAAAAAAAAGGATGACTGGAGTAATACAGTTTCATTCATATGAAAATCTTTCTGTTACTTCTCAACTCCTCATTGTTCGAAAAGCCTCCATGCTTTAATACCAACATCAGTTGGAGCAAGCTTGAATTTGAACAAACATGCACTCATTTTGTCAATTTTGTGTATTTCTGTCATTTTAGATCTGTCCAGTGAAGTTATTCCATACACTGAAACAGGTATGAGGCTCAAATCTCCAGCTGTGCTGTTTGTTAAAGAACCTGAGGGCTTCTAGGCAAGCCCAACCCTTTTACCTCCTCCTCGCCACCTTTGGCATTCCCATTTTTGGGCGTCTCCCATCTCCTTCTGATTTAACTAGCATGCTGAGAGACCAAGAGGACAATGAAGGGAAGGCATTTGGAAGTGAATTCTGGTTGCCTGCTCCCTCTGCCAATGCAAATAACCAAGCAGCAAAGCAAGGTGGAAGAGCAGTATAGCCCAGAAGCTCAAAGTTTCAGCCCTGAATCTCCTGCAGGGGTGTGGCTCTGGAAGGATGCTCCGCCTTCTAGAGATACTGGACTACAATTACTCCCACCCTCAGCTTGGCCCCGGAGCAAGGGCACTTAACCCGCAGCTTATCTGGAGGATAGCAAATTGGGGAAAGCTGCCCAATAGGTATTAATTCTTGACACCATCCCCGATCACAGCCTTCTGTTACTGGGCACATTCACTTAAATAAGTGTAACAAAACCCCGCCACAGCTATTTTTAATGAAAAAGAAAAGAGCAGCAAAGTGGAATTCGGAGCAGAAAAGTTGCTGATGGGTAAAGGACTAACCTCCACCCCAGCTCTACTTTGCTGTTCAACTGCTATACAGGATCTGTGATGGTGCTAATGAATCTGGTTTTGCAGCCCAACCAGAGGATGAAAGGCAGGATTGCTTCCGGGGAGAAGAGGGTATGAGATGCAAGGACCACGTAGAAAGAAAAGGTGGCGGAGCTTCTGAGAACCTGGTCTAATTATGCTGGGAGAATGGTTTCAGTACACTTTTATGAGGGAGGAAATTGAACATGAACCTGCAGGAGGTTCACAAAATCTCATGAATTTCTATCATCAAAACATTTAACTCATGGTCATATCACTTCTGTATCAAGTCCAACCAAGCTGTGAGAAGCCTACAAAAGAACTGAACATTCATTTTATCCACAGGCAGTATAATTCCATAACATACTGTAAAATGTCTTAAGCATCTGGTGAAAATCCAGAATGAGTTAAAAACTAAGGACCAAATCACATATTACCATTTTTGGTTGTTGTTTCATCACAGACTTTCATCACAGATTACAGAACTGCTTAGCTGAAAATGTTTAATGTTTTTGGCAGACAACTGAGATCAGATAAAAGATGAGGTTGTCATTTATTTGTTTATATGAAAGTGACACATGAGTATTATAACCAAGGCATTATAAAAGCTAGATTTTATTTTATTTTTTAACTTTCTGCTTCAAGTCTCTCATGGCTCCCTCTAGTCTGCAAGCAAGGCAAGAGTCCTTGGTGCTCTCTGTGCTTGGCTGTTTGCTTGCAGACATTTTGTTACTTAACTAGGTAAAATCATCAGTGCTAGTGAATGTGGGGTTTGCTCCCTATTTATTTGGAGGACAGTTGCCTGTCCTTCCAGTGTTGGTGGAGATGTGGTTTTCTCCTTGGTAGTTTCTTTAATGTTGTTGTTGTTCAGTCGTTAAGTCATGTCCGACTCTTCCCCATGAACCATATTGCGCCAGGCCTTCCTGTCCTTCACTGCCTCCCTGAGTTTGCTCA